GTGCAATAGTTTAGTGATAAGGTTTTAGCCCTCATTTTTAGATGCCAACTATTACACACTAGGGTCACATAGTAAATGGGTAACTCCGATCATCAAGGAATAATCCATAGACCTTAATCGGTTCTATTTTCATGCCCAGATAATAAGGGTTTTCCAACTCGACTGGTCTAGCCCGTAAAGCCTAATCAAAATATTGGCAAATAGCATTTGCCTATCTCGATCTCTCTGAACCATTATCTCTTGGTCCATCAGGTGCATACTCCCACTAAAGTTATTTGATCCACTATATTTGATATTGATTACATGCTCTCATAGGGCCTTTAATAATGACGGCCTTACTATTTTCTACATCATTAGGCAATAATAGGTTAAGGTGGTCATAAGAGAGGGGAACGCTAATTGGAAAAGGGCATGGGTAATGAGGTAGATAGGGCATGTCTTTATACGGGAGGGGGACTAACGCTATGAATGTTGTGATACAAGTGGTGTTTTAGAGAGAGAAGGAGAGACATCGCAACGGTATTCATGGTGATCTCGAAAAAGAATTATATATTATGATAGTAAATGGATGGAAAACCAAATCTACGGGGGATGGCGATCTAGAGAGAGAAAAAGAAAAGCAGTGGGGGATAAAAAGTCTTATGAAATCAACAAACCGAAGTTAGCTGCTTAGCTAGATAAAGAAAGGGAAGAAGACCCAAAGAAATCTATGGTGGGTGGCATTCTAGAGAGAGGGGAGGATGCAAGAGATAGGAAAATTGTGGTGTGTGGAATTTTTATTTTCAATATTTTTATGTGTTTATAGATCTACTTGATTTGAAACATGTTTTTAGTTTAAAATTTTAACCACAGCTCTAGGCTAAAACATACCTTCATGAATTGGAGCATGCCTCCAAATGTGAAGCCTCCAATAAGTGAAAATATCTCGGAGCTTATGATCTCATGGAGGCTAATGAAATAGGATACATACTAACTTTTTGTACTAAAGTTAGATACCATCTCATATTGCTATTGTATCAACAAGTGAATCTCCATGACAGATGCAACATTTGGAAAACATCCCACGTCCAATCGTTCTCATGTTAAGACATACATTTAGGAGAAATTTTGTTTATGTGTCCATTAAAGGCCATATCAGAACTTGTATAAGCACTTTATCTAGTGAAACATATACTCCTGTGTAGATCATATTAAGCAAATGATATTTATTGATACTAGACTAAGCTTGGCATGCTAGGCAGTCAGTTGAAGAAAACTCATGTTACCTGGACATAAAGATTAAACGGGTTATCCTTTGATGAGGTTGGAGTATATTTGGATGAGTAACCAAGTGAATGTATGACCCTTTTATATGATGGTGATCCTAAGAAACAGGAGGCCAAAGCCTCACTCATGTACCATCACATGACGTCAACATATGACAGTCTTATCGAGAAAGCGAACTACCTTTCAGGGTGACACATAGGTATGTGCAAGAAATGACCTTTATGCGCTATAGAGTTGTGGTTGCATCAGGTCTATGTGACATTGATGAGAACCTAAAATCGACATATTGGGATTACGTCCCCTTTTCTACTGGTTGATTTTGGTGGCCCAATCACAAGCCCTTGCAATGTGGACTGTGTATCATGAGAACCGCTGGATCAGTTTGAGAAAGTAAGTGTGAACCGTGATCCACAGTAGAAGGTTGAATGCCCTAGTGTTTTATTATTCTTAGACCATATGGATCAAATTCCCGTCAAAAGTATTTAATTATTATTGTTTTGATATTATTTGATTTTTAGAATTATTGTTTGAATTTTTTTGAATATCTGAGTAATTTATTTGTATGATTTGAATTTATAAAACCAGATATATTGAATTTTTATTGTTTTAAATATTCAAATGGAATTAATAACTATTTTTTATTTCTAATATATATATATATATATTATTGTATGGGCAGCCATTAATATACATGAGCCACTATTGCAAGTTGGTGGAGCCCATGAGAGCCCACTTCGGGCGGCACACCCCACCCCTTCTACTTTCTAATTTGTGTGCTCAAGCAAGTTGGCTTAGGCTTACGAAATTGTGTTTTAGAAATGTTTGATTTTATGGAGATTTTGAAATCAAACATGGAAGGAAATAAAAAGGCTTGTGTATGAAATTGAAATGTATAATATTATAATTGATTATTGTCATAATTAATCTATTGACGAACAATTGGTTTAAGAAATGGGGCATAAATGATCTAGTACCTTCCTTAAGATGTTAATGGCTAATCTATAGAATTGATAGTTCACATCTCTTACCCCACAAATCTACCAAGATCAATTGTGCAAATTCAATATCCCTAAAATGATCAACCATATAAAAACCTAAAGAAACCCTAACCTCATTGAAACACTATAAATAGGAATCTCTCAACCCTTTTGGACAGCTCTCTTTTCTCTCCTACATGTCTCATAGTGGGGCACACCCGAACCTAAAGTTGCTTCTATCTCTCTTGTGAAGGGGCAAGCCCCACCTAACCTTGGTCATCTTCTCTCTCCCATCTTCTATCTCTCTCATAGCCTATTGGTACAAAAAAGCACATCTCTCGCATTTAAATGCTTAAAGCGTTAAGAGCTTAAGTGTAAGTTTTAAACGAGTGGTTCTAGTAGCAATTTTAGGTCCAAGATTTATTTATTTTTAATCTGTTCAAGTCAATTAATGATCTATTTACAAGTGGAAATAAAAAATAAATAAATAAATCAGAATACATATAACGAGCTAGATCACATAAATCCAACTTTCAATGATACTACGATGGACTTCAATATACAAAGTTGTTAACATGCTAACGTAATCGTATAGTGAGGTGCTTGGCACTGAAATAAATAGGCCCACCACCAACACTGCTTAGACAAGGGAGAGAATATCAGCAGTAATAGTGGCCGTATACAGGACGTAAACAAATTTCAAAAGGTTATCACAAATTTCAATCAATAAACATTTTAAAACAGATACAATTGATTCATTATTATCGTTAGATCAAAGATACTAAACTAAATAAATTAGAGGAGATCATACTATAATGGTTGCCTAACATCTTACAAAAGGGAAATAACAACGAGATGAGACATTGGATTTCCATTTCTTGACAAAGAGAAGGTTCCTAACAGCAATCCAGAGAGATTTCACAAATTCTATAACCTCTCGTATCTGGTGTCTCGAACTCTCGTACAGCCAGTCAGCCACAACAAATAAACAAAAACAGCTCTAATCAAGAAATCCACATTGAAGCTAGAAATGTAATAGATATTGTACAGCTGCAATAAATTTGTAAATGTGAATGAACCTGTTTTCCTAATGATCAAATAAGAATCAGTTCATCAGCCAAATGGAAAGTAGAATTCATTGAAAGATAGAATTCATTGAAAGACTATCACAACAAAATAGCAATCTAATCAGTTCATCAGCCATATGGAAAGTATAAATTCATTGAAAGACTATCACAACAAAATAACAATCTGACATTTAGAGTCTTAAAACTTGAACCACCGACATTTAGAGCTCAAGCATCTTTGAACTGGGCACTAATACACCACAAAAGTTGTAGAAATACCAAGAGAAGTCTTTTTCAACAACCGCACCAGAAAGAGACATAGCCATTGGAGAGAATATAAGTAGCACATTAACATGAGGCTGCATCCACAAATACTTTACATGACACCTGAATAAGCACGCATACTAAAAATTTTCAGTCTTATAGTAGTATTCAGTCAAGTATAAAATGTCAGAACCAGTCCTCTCTTTTATTGACTTTGTGAATGGAAAAAATTAATTCAGACAAATCCCAAATCAAATTCAACAACAATTTCACCCTTCTCATAAACTACCAAAAGGTATGTAACATTGGCCCAATAAAAGTTATAAAAACCATTAAAAGTTGACAAAAAATATCTCTGCAACCATATCCAAATACAATTGTAGATATTAAAAAATTACCAAATATAAAGCAATGGCAAACATGGAAACTTACAATTATATTCTTTTTTAAAAAAAAAAAAACAGATAATTCCAAAGTTCATTTAAGTATTTGATAGCTTCTGAGGTGAAATGAGATAAAGTATCTTCTAACACAAACCAGTTGCAAAGAGACAGGGACGAGCAAATTAAGTCTTTGCATATAATAGGAGAACATAAATAAATTTTCAAATACCAAGCAGCCTCGCTATTAATTTTGGCTAATAATCAAATGGCCAATAATACATGCTTGTGGCTCAACTTGTAGATGAATAACTAAACATAAAATATGATGCAATCACTATTAATAAAATCAATCACAAATTGCAATCACAATCGATAAAATCAATCACCCTGTTGTATTCTTTCAACAAAAGGCCAGATGTATTGTGCTATTTCAAGTTGCGTAAGAGAAATTCAAATGTCATATGCTGCCTGAAAAAGAGAAATAAGTCATTGAAGCACCAGCAACTTCCAGTGCCATACACAGTAGCCAATAATGAAAGTAATAAGCAAATATTCCACATAATTTTCACTTGTTGAATAACATTTCCATTACAACCTGAGATGAAAAGGAAAAAATTGCCCTTGTTCAAGCAATAAAATTTAGATAGATTTCTTTATTGAATGCATTTCCAGAAGATAATTGGCATCAAATATTGCTTTTATTGGGGTAGGAGGCTTCAAGGGTTCCAAGTGCCAAAATAGCGCAAGTTTTATTGTTTGTATTTCCTTCACAGTAGATTAAAGGGCTTTATAAGCATCAATGTCCCAAAAATCCTCCTAAAGCAGGAGAGACACCCCTTCAGCTCCATATAGATGAGGAAACCGCTTATGCTATAATGATATACACATTGGATTAGAGAGAACAAATAATGAAATAATAAAGAAAATATTGCTACTAGTTTCAGGGAGGCCAAGAACAGACGTTTTCCGGTGCAAAGTGGATAACATCTAAAGATGGAAGATATCTAACACGGTTTCAAGCATGTTGAGAGCCAACACAAATGTAAATGCTGGAAATGAAAATTTCATGGCATTTCATACACTGCATTTCTTATCAGAAACCACTATCTTTAAAGAAAGATTTGACACCAGTACATACAGTGAAGGCAAGATAACCAGAACTGTGCTTCTATAAGAGGATCATAACCCTCTTACTGAGGACCAATCTCCCTAAAACCCTTAGCATCAACAACAGAGGTACAAGAGCATCAATAGCATGAAAAAGCACCATTACAATGGTCAGAAACCTGGATCCAGCCATCAAACTCTAGATACAAAAGAAAAAACCCTAAATCAACAAAGAAACTCTAGCCACAGCTAAGAAACAATTAAGCTCTCTCGCCTCGGATCCTGCGAGCCAGCTGAATATCCTTAGGCATAATGGTGACCCTCTTTGCATGAATAGCACAGAGGTTGGTGTCCTCAAAAAGCCCAACCAAGTAAGCCTCAGCAGCCTCTTGCAATGCAGAGACAGCACTGCTCTGGAACCTCAGATCAGTCTTAAAATCCTGAGCAATCTCACGAACCAACCTTTGGAAAGGGAGCTTCCTGATCAAAAGCTCGGTGCTCTTCTGATACTTTCTGATCTCCCTAAGGGCAACAGTACCAGGCCTAAACCTGTGAGGTTTCTTCACGCCACCAGTTGCTGGAGCTGATTTCCGAGCAGCCTTAGTGGCTAGCTGCTTCCTTGGCGCCTTACCACCGGTTGATTTGCGAGCAGTTTGCTTTGTGCGAGCCATGGAGATGGATTAGGGTTAGGGCAAGAAACAGAGAACCTTAAACAGTTAAAGGGGTTTAGGGTTTAGGGCAAAAATCAGAAGCAGAGAGAGAGGAATGCCAAATGTAAGCGTGGCTTTCGATCGTCAGGGTGGTGGTATTTGTAGATATGGCGGATTTGCGTTTTTTGAAGTTGTTTTTGCGGGAAAGGATCTGGACCGTCAGTTTTGGGACCTATCAACGGATGGAAATGCGTGATCTCGAGCACACGGATCGCTATCCGGGGCTGAGAGCGAAAGGGCCGTGCTGGTTGTTTATTTTGTCTCCCGATGCCTTGTAGTTCCCACCTCTCATTCCTTTCTTCGTGTTTTTCTCTGGGGCGGGTCACGGCCTCCGTAATTTTGCTATGGCTTTTTGACGAGGTATGTCTTTTGGAAAACATTTACATAAGGGTGAGGCCGTAAATAATTAAATAAAGGCGTACTTCAAATATTCATTAAAAAAAATTATTTTGATGCTGAAAAACCCTTAGTATTACCTCGACTTCAAAATATAGGGATATAAAACATAATAGATTTTAAGTCTTGAAAATAGTGCACCTTGTATTGTATTATGCCCCTAAAGAGAAAGGTTTCCATGTTTTCCCTACACCATAAAAATATCTATGCTTCACCTATCATCTAGCCGTCTAATTTTGATCTCTATTCACCATTTAATCTTAGATCCAATATCGTAAAGTATTTTATTTTTATACAAATTGTATGAATATGAAATTTGGTACGTCCCATTTTTTCATTGGGGCGCACCTATAAAAAATATTAAAAATAACTTTTCGATAAAATATATGACCAAAATACCCCTTGAAATTTGTAAGGGTATTTTGGTTATTTTATTTTATTAGAAATATTTGTTTTTATATTTTTCGGTAGTGCTAGCTTAATAAAGGATTGAACGTCCAAAATTTGGTGTCAAAATAGTTTATAGAAAAAAAATAAAAAATAAAATAATGTAGAGACGTGACATTGTGATTGGGCCAATTTTAGCCCTCCATTCATAATGGATGGTTCGATACGGGACAGTATATAAGTTTTATGTTGTAGGGAAGTATAGAAAGCTTGCCCTTATCTAAACCGTATTGTATTATCTAAGCACTATTTTTTAACTTTAAATTTTATAACAAGAGATGAAAATAAATTGTGATGCCATCATAAAGATTTTTAAAACTGAAACAATATATTTCAACACTATTTGAAGGCGCCCCCTATTTCTAAAAATCGAACCGGAACGGTTAACCGTACATGGGGCTGGAAGTGGTTCAACCGGCCTAACTAGACAATTCTCGGGCGAACAAAAAAGTATTTAAAAAATAAAAATAAAATATAAAATATAAAAATTATATTTAAAGCATGATTAAACAAACCACATCTCAATGAAGTTGAAAATTAATAATAAAAAAATAGATATTAGATAATCGATTTGTGCCCAGGGTTATTTTTGAAAAAATTCAAAAAAATGGGAAAAATATAAAATAAGTATTAAGGGCCAAAACAATTTCTAGTCTTTGTTAAAATGATGAAAAACATTAAAAAAATACATTACAAACAAAATCCTTTATTTTTTTAGATTTTATATAATTTTTTAAAAATACCCCGTCGGGTCACCAAAATCAGCTGAAACTGGAACCGGCCAGTGACGGGTTCCAATTTGAACCACCCAATTTCTCCTCCTCTATTTTTTATCCAATGTTTTGTTATTCTTAATGGTCATTGCGTTTTCATTTTAAGTACAAATTTTTTGGAAATTAATGTAAGACGTCGCTACTTATTGGAATAAAAAAAAAGTGATACTTTTCTAAGGGATTGTCTATAAAGAGACTATTCATCTTTTAAAAAAGTTTATCTTGAGCTGAAGCTCTAAATAATCAAATTAGAGCCCACCTCAAAAACTGAAGCTCTAAACAATCAAATTAGACCCCACCTCGGAAAGTACACTAAAAGAGGTTGTTTCGATGCTCAAATATTCTCAAATTGATCATCTTGACATCAAGATGCATGGACATAAGAAAAAATTGGATTTCAAGTTTTGGAAATAATACATCTTGCACCGCATTTTTTTACTCTCAATTTTCAATATTTCAATGTTTTCATAGATTTGATCGTTGTACACTATTTCTGAAGTTTTAAATTTTATAATTGAATATGAAAATATATTTTAAGGCTATCACAAAGATTTCCGATATTGAGACCACATTTTTCGATACTATTTGAAGGTGCGCCTTACTTTGATTGCTTAGATCCTCGGCTTTATACAAACCACACCCTTTATCTTTTGTACATGGAGGTCAAATCATATACACTCATCAGATATCAAATTTGGATGCCTTGGGGTGAGTCACAAAGTCCGAAACTTTATTTTGTAGAACTTTGTGTTTATTCAATGATACTCTTACAGCCAACCATTTTAAGATTTAAGGGATAAGAATGATTGTGACCTCAACGTACAAAAAATAAATAGTCTCTTTGTAGACATTCCGCTTTTTAAAAGAGAAATTTACTCGTACAGCCAATGTAAATTTGTAATTATAAAATTATTACATGTATGCCCTTTTTGTCTGTCTTTTTTTATTTCAATTTTACCCTCGACTCCAGAGTTTGAATATCTAAAGTCACAAATGAATTTGGATTTTTAATATCCATACTTTTATTTTTATTTTTATTTTTTAAAACTCTTTTTTAACGAAATAAAAAAATCAAAATCACTTCAAATATTGAAAATATGAAGTCCTGCTTGATTTCATATTTTGAATATTTGAACTTGTGAAATTTCCTCACAACTTTAGATAGTAAAAATCCGTAGTCAAGAGTGACTTCGAATTTTCAATATCTGAAGTGAAAAATCACTTTTTTTAAAAGTACAAAATAACTAGTAACTTTAGATTTTCAATATCCAGAGTGAGGGAAATTTTTTATTTTTATTTTTATTTATTATTTTTTTAAAAAAAGGGAAAAGTTTATATAGAGCCAATGCTCTAGATAATCAACTTTGAGCCTACCACAAAAAATTTACTAGAAGGTATTGTTTTGATGCCCGAATATCCTCAAATTGATCATCTCGACGTCAAGATGCATAGATTTTAAAAAAAATGGATTTCAAAATTTGGAAATAGTGTATTTTGTAACGCATTTTTTTACCGTCAATTTTTAAGATTTTCAAGTTCTTATAGATCTATCAATCTACACTATTTTTGAAGATGAAAATATATTTTAAGGCTATCACAAAGATTTTCAATATTGAAACCACATTTCTCGACACTATTTGAAGGTAGGCTCTAATTTGATTGTTTAGAGCTTAGGCTCTATACAAACCGCACCCAAACATATATGCAGGTAATATATAAAAATTTGGGGGATTTTTATAATGAGAAATGATCCTATAGGACCCTCTCTCACCCATATGTACAGGACCCCAAATGATCACCATTAAATTTAGCACGGATCTTTAAAAAATCAAGTCCCACACCTATGTGATAACTTTTATAGGGATCTGTGCTAAATTTAATGATGGGGCTCTACACACATGGGTGGGGGAGGGTCCTATAGGATCATTACTCTTTTATAAATTCTAAAATTTTGATTAACTAGCTCATAGAATCATAACTAATTATTTATCCAAAATATATGCTACTCCCAATAGCATATTGTTCATTTGCTCCCTTAGTAGAAACTTGCTAGAGAAGATAACTCTTTCTATATTGATCATCCCTGGGCCATACAACCTCTATGTTTATACATCCAATTAATGGTAAGAATAAAAGAAAACTTGAACATGTATGCTACATTAGCACTTATCATAAAACACAAGATATTACACCTACCCTTCCTATACATATTGATTATATTATACACTTCCCTTGACACCGGCCCTCAAACTCAAGATGGTTTAAGAGGGAGCAGGTGGTGGACAATAAGTAGTGAAAAAGAGTAGTGGGGTGAGATTTGTTGAGAATATCGGCTATTTGGTCATTGGAAGCAACAAAGGGTAGAGTAAGAAACCTTAAAGAAAATGATAATGAGAAACGTGACAATCCATTTTTATTTTTCATGCTTTCATGATGTAGAAACCCCATTTTAAATCTGACAGATTCTATGATTTTCTGAACCCTTAGGATCACGTTATCCTAGTAAACTCAATTTAATTACCCCAAAATTATCCTAATCATATCCCAATTTGAAGTAGAGCCCAAGAGCTTTCCAACGGTCCAAGAATCGACTGAATCAGACATACATATACATAGGTATAACAAATGACAAGTCAGTCCCTATGAGACCCAACTGTCGGGCCGTGGGCCGGCCTGTAACGGGCCCAACATGCCCAGACGCGAGCTAATGATGCAGTAAATGTGTTTTCTTTAATTAAAAAAGGCTAAAACTTCAAGATAAATTCAAAAAATTTAGAAAAAACTTCAAAAAATTTAGAAAAAATCATCAATTGAATCTTATAAATTCCCCCTATCCTTAACCCAAAAGGAGAGAGAAAAAGAGACCAAAAAAACTTAGAAATTACCAAAATTAGAAAAATTATTTAAAAATACCAAAAATAGAAAAAACCTTTAAAAAATTCCTAGAAATTTAGGAAAAATCTCAAAAAATTTCAAAAAATTAGAGAAAATCTCAGAATTCATATTCAACCTCTGAAGATCACTAAACCCTTAGAAAACCAAGGAAATTCTCCTCTAGACCCCAAAAAGACCGACAGCTTTAAAAAAAATCTCTAGATTGAAAAATCCTAAAGAAGATAGAAACCCTAGCCTCGTGAAGTCTTAACCCCCAAGACTGAAAAAAACCTAGGTCTAGAGTACAAAAACCCTAGATCAAAACTAGAATTAGGACACAACAACCCTAGATCTAATCCTTTACGCTAGAGATCTGATGGTCAACATCCGAATCAAAGAGGCAAAAATGACTGATTCTGATACGGGCGAGCCCTTGAAGGCTCAGGAATCCTGGGCCATCCGGCCCGGTTTGGTATTATTTCTTCCTCTCTATTTCTTCTTCTTTTTACTATTTTGCTTCTTTCGTTTATTTTTTGATCTGTTAACTTGTCTTAAAAATCGTATTTTTATTCTTTGGATCATGCTGGCGCTGCCACAGATCTG